TCTCAGTATATTATAAAATTATCTAGCTTTGGGATTCTAGAAAAGAAAAAGCGATCATGGAAGTGAGAGAAAATGAAGATTTCATTAGTGCTTTAGCCATAGACGATAAGCAAAAAACACTTCTTGCAACATGGTAAGAATACTTAAGTAAATCCAAACACTTATTTCTATATGTTACTGATTGAATATGGGTGTTTGTATCCAAATACAGGGATCATTTCTCTAGTAGAAGCCCATGTAAATTACAGAGGTGTTTCTGTTATTAGAATTTGTAATATTTTGATGATTCATTAGAATTTTAAATAAATAAATATGATGAATAGTAGATAATATTTGGTAATTGTTGTCCTGTAACCATGCAAAAACATCTAGACATTTTGAGCAATGTCTTTTTATCAATGGCATATAAGAAAATGTTCAAACGTAAAGAATGAAAGAACACGCACAATAACTATAAACTGGAATCACTAAAAGATTCCACAATAGAACATGTATACGTCCATCTAATCAACAATCAATGTTACCATAGATACTACCTTTATTTCACATGATTGCTAAATAAATCCTCTGTTTTTCGAACAAATAAAGTGAAAAAATTAAGAGGGATACAAAATAAAAATTGCTCTTCAAAAATTGTAGAACAGTGCACCAGAGTATAAATTAAGCAACTATTTATAATAACCTATACCTATACTAAATCATTGTTTTTACTGGACTATTGGGTTCTTTTCCACATTCGGATAGCAAAATCTTTTGAATTTTAAAATTATCAATAATTGCTGTTCAAATATACCACAGCTTTGGGAAAATTGAAGAAATCTGATCAGTGCCTGCTGAGTTGTACTTACTTGATTGGTCATTTTGATGTAAATTTTAGAACAAAGATTAACACTAATTTGCATATGGATAGATGAATAATGGGCTGGTATTTTTAAATGGTCATGAAATCTTCTGAGAAAAACATTTTAATGTCCAGTAATAATATAGATGATTCTATGTATCTACAGATGTTTACTTTTCTTTTTTATCTGCCGTTACTTTGAAACCTTGTTTATTGCTTTTTTTGTTAGTGGAGATGGTACTCTATCTGTTTTCAATATTCGTAGACATAGATTTGATTTGCAGTCTGAAACTATGGATAGTGAGATGTTGGCATTGGCTGTCTGTAAGGTAACCAATTACATTACTACTGGTCAGTATAACAGTGAATCTCATTGGTTGATTGTTTTTATGTGAAATTAAGACTGTTTGCAATTGGCTGACTGTAAGGTAAAATATTTATATACCGTGGAAGACTTCATTCAAATCTTGAGTGTGTATGAAACATGCCAATTGTTTTTTATTGATCTGGCAGCGTGGCCGAAAAATTGTCTGTGGAATGGGCGATGGAGCATTGAATCTTTTTAATTGGTCAGAATGGGGCAATTTAAGTGATCGGTTTCCAGGACATCCAACTTCTATTGATTGTATGGTCAAAGTAACTGATGATATTGTCTGTACAGGGTCATTGGATGGTACTATTAGGTAAGTGTAAAGTTGAGTCATAGTTTAGGTGTTGTACATGTTGAAAAATATTT